TACTTTGAGTGCACTCACGACAAAGTGCACGTCAGTATCCGATACGTATCTGATACTCATACTCACCAATACGCGACCACTACGTGGTGGGTCTGTATCCGTAATTTAATAAAAGTATCGGACTTAATTTTAAAAATATAGATACTTTGAAGTATCTATATTTTCAAAAGCTAGTAAATTTGATACATTTACTAAATCAGGGTTATAGGGTTCGATACGCGTATCGGTTCACGGATACGGGTATCAAAATTCCGATACCTGTATATGTGAACCGATACGCATATCTAACCCTATAACCCTGATTTCATACACGACATGACAAAATTTAGTAGTCGCTCAAGCGACTACAAGACGTGGAACATTAGTAAAGATGATATCGGGAGTATGGAAAATATTGGAATACTATAATTTGCCAATTTGTCGCTTGATAAGCATTAATTGAAATCAGTCTTGTTAAAGGACTTAGATGCAAATGAAAATAGAGAACCATTAATATTATTTGAATTTAAATTGAAATATCAGTACTTAGTTTTTTTAGTCTAATCTTTGAAATTTAATTATAATTGTTATTTCTTGAAACTCTTATTATTTTATTTATGAACCTCTGAATTATATATATTTGCAAATTATACCATATATTATTATTTATAAATATACCCTCATACTTGTATCCTATAATTTTTGAAGTTGTCGTATCGTCGTATCTAGACCTTCACAAAAACGGGTTCGGGCCGGGCTCGGGCCGGGCTTTTTATAATTTTTTTGCCCATCATATGTGGGTGGGCCCGGCCCGGCCCGCAAAAACGGGCCTAACCCCATGTCCATACCCGCCCATAAGAGCGGGCCGGGTAGTCCACCGGGCCTCCGTGCCCGGAAAAACCTTATATTTTTTGAATTTTTTTAATACTTTAAAACTAATATTACAACATTTAAAAAATTGTTAATATGCGTGTAATGTTTATAGGTCTTTCACCACATACAAAAATAATACTTACACAAAAATAATAATGAGAAACTATATCTAAAATTTAAAATTCAAGCACAAAGTATTATCTTTAAGTACAAAAATAGATACTATATTAGTTGGGGGGGAAAATAAATAATATACCCCGAACTTTGCCTTGGTGTGAGCTCCCCACCCCGAACTTGTCATAGTTTAAAAAATACCCTCAATTTTATTTATTTAATATTTTTGTACCATATTTTAATAAACAAATAATATTTCTCAAATTGTAATATTTTTATTAGATTTAGTTGGCAAAAAAGATGTGTGATTCCCAAATTAATGTGTGCTTTTCGAATTGATTAAATAACTTCAAAATCTCTATTTTAAGTACAAAAAATATGTTAATTAATCTTTTTTGCCAACTAAATCTAATTAACATATTATAATTTGAGAAATATTATTTGTTAATTAAAATATGGTACAAATTAAAATTTTAAATAAATAAAGTTGGGGGTATTTTTTAAACTAGGACAAGTTCGGGGTGGGGAGCTCACACTAAGGCAAAGTTCGGGGTATATTATTTATTTTCCCCATTAGTTGGGCTAGTGGTTCAGATCTAAAAACCTAAATTTAAACATAATAAACTATAAATATGTATAAAGATAAATTATATTAAAAAATATAAATGTACATGTAAATAAATAAATCAATTATATATATATATATATATATATATATATTAAATGTAGCGGGCCGGGCTTATCGGCCCGAACGGGCCTACACCCTAACCCAAGCCCGTCCATATGTTATTGCGGGCCGGGCCCGGCCCGGTGGGTAAATATATATGCCCAAGCCCGCCCATTTGTGCGGGCCGGTTGGGCGGGCTGGGCGGGCCGACCTGGTTTTGTGCAGGTCTAGTCGTATCCGTATCCGTGCAACATAGGCACTAATATCGTAGTAAAGTGGAGTAGAGTTCGTAGTCACAGAGAAATAGATTCTTCTTGTGTGAAATTGTAAGAAAGGTTTTTTTTTAAATTTGTATGACTTGAGAATATTTAAAAAAATAAGATGAATGAAGTATGTGATCAAGACTAGCTTCAAGGATATTATTCTCATTATTTCCTTAACTATCTCCTCTTAAATATTATTCAATCGTGGAGTATTCCCAATTCATCAAGGATAGCTATTAATAATGAAATGTGTTCATTAATAATTCTTACTATTAGCTAAATATAGAATAAGCGTCGTCTACCGACTTGATTGTAGCATTTAATTTCTTTCATTTTTGATGAAATCAAGTGAGATTGACAACTTCAACACAAGCAGTTTTTTTATGTAATTAATATCATGAATTTCTCCTTAGATTATTAACCAAGAGAAGCATACACTAATAAACTAATGTTACTACTTGTGAAATAATCAATGATTAATATCAGTTCATTGATCATTTCAAGTATTAATTAATGTTAAAGCATAAATTAATCATTACCTAGCAACACTCTAACATTAATATAGACATATGAGTACGTAGGGAAGAATTACTACTCAAGAAGAAAATTTTAATGAAATAACTCACAACTTTAAGTCTTTAACATTCAACAAGGTTCAAGATAGCAAAATTGGGATTAAAGAATTTAGCTTCTTCTTTGGAAAATAAACTTGTTAGAAAATATAAGGAAAATACAATTTCTTACAATTACATGGTCTGGCATTGCTTATGCGGTTAACAAAATTGGCAAAATTGGCAAGTCATGTTTTCCACAAACTCGAAGATTACCGGATGATTATTGGAAAATGACAATATCTTACTATTACACGGCATGCATGATCCACGCACAGATCATTGGGCAACTGTTAAGCGTTGATTGCGCAATCTTTGTGGAACTCTAGATCGTGATATTCATATTGATAAAACTTCTCTTCTTATTTTACATGCATTTTCTTATGGTGATTGGACTGGAGATGAAGATGACTATCCCTCTACCATTAGCTATATTATTTATCTTGGGAAACACCTATCTCGTGGACTTCCAGAAAAACAACGTACCATTGATAGAGATCATCAACAGAAGCAGAACTAATATGGATTGAATCTCTTTGACAAGAACTTCAATTTCAGCTTCCTCACAAACCTGTTAGTGCGTAGAGTGTGTACATTGGAGGTGAAGTCGTGAAGATCTGGATGTATTTACTCGTGGTTCTGATGTTGCCTGATTCCTGAAACAGTGGTCACACCAACGAATTTTCTATACATGACCTTAAAATTATTTCAAGCATCGAAGAAAGTTTAGTGGAAACTCAGTTATTATGACCAATGATGGAGTCACCATAAGTCAAAGATGTTCACAGTAACATTCAAAGTTCTGAAAAACATGTAATTATATGTGTAAATTTAATGTAAACATATACTCGTATTATTTTTTGAAGTTTTAATAGGAGAAAAAAAGTTGATCTTCCAAAACTCAATTTCTGATGAGGTATAGGTATGGAAACTGCTGTGATCATCCTCTTGTGTTCCAAAACTCAGAGTACAGACGGATACAGGGACACATGAACACTAACAAAAACGATAGGCTATCCATCATTGCTAGATTTTGATAATTGATCTTTGGATCTAGCATATTGTCACACATTTTTTTTATTTGGCCAATTGGCCCTATTTCAATAGTTTTTATGTGAATAGTCAATAGTACTAAGGAGTATCATGACTATCATCTTAAATTCAGATGATATGTCAAATGACGAGAGGTTTTGTTGCCACTTGCCAATGCCTTTTAAATTGAGGAAAAAAAATTGTTTGTAAGACAAAAGATGGTGTCTTGAACTTTCTGGCGTTCCCATAGGATGTCTTGATTTCGAAAACCAGGGGCTGAGAATGGTGCAGGAATTGAGATGGATTTTAAATTCCAAAGAAATTCAAATTTCGAACACCCCTAACCCAATCCAGTAACAAGCAAACAAACATCCATAGAGAATTTCATTGTTTGAGATAATAAAAAGAAAGAGCAACATGTAGTGACATGTTTGAAATTCAACGGACAAGATAAACACACAAACAAGCAGATATAACAGAAGTTAGCCTCTAGTACTCCTCTCCCTCATCACCTTCATCTTCATCCTCTCCTTCAGCCCCAACCTCCTCATAGTCCTTCTCCAGAGCAGCGAGATCCTCACGTGCCTCACTGAACTCACCCTCTTCCATACCCTCACCAACGTACCAATGCACAAAGGCACGTTTGCAATACATGAGATCAAACTTGTGGTCAATACGGGAGAACACCTCAGCAACACTGGTGGAGTTGGAGATCATACACACAGCCCTCTGCACCTTGGCCAGGTCACCTCCAGGAACAACAGTCGGAGGCTGGTAGTTGATACCACACTTGAAACCAGTAGGGCACCAGTCAACAAACTGAATGGTGCGCTTGGTCTTGATGGTGGCAACAGCAGCATTCACATCCTTCGGAACAACATCACCACGGAACATGAGACAGCAAGCCATGTACTTTCCATGACGAGGATCACACTTAACCATCATGGATGATGGTTCAAAGGCACTGTTGGTTATCTCAGCAACAGAGAGTTGCTCATGATAGGCCTTCTCAGCAGAGATCACAGGGGCATAAGAGGAAAGCATAAAATGGATCCTTGGGTATGGGACAAGATTGGTCTGGAACTCATTAACATCAACATTCAATGCTCCATCAAATCGCAGTGAGGCAGTGAGTGAGGAGATGACCTGTGAAATGAGACGGTTCAAGTTTGTGTAGGTGGGGCGCTCAATATCAAGGGAGCGGCGGCAGATATCATAAATGGCTTCATTGTCAAGGAGAATGGCAACATCAGTGTGCTCAAGAAGAGAGTGTGTGGAGAGGACACTGTTGTATGGCTCAACCACTGAAGTAGAGACCTGGGGTGAAGGATAAATGGTAAAACCAAGTTTGGATTTCTTGCCATAGTCCACAGAGAGACGCTCAAGCAGAAGAGATCCAAGACCTGAACCAGTGCCTCCACCTACTGCATTGAAAACCAGAAATCCTTGGAGACCGGTGCAGTTATCAGCAAGTTTGCGGATGCGATCCAGGCAGAGGTCAACAATCTCTTTCCCAACTGACCACCATATCAAAAATAAAATTAGATCATTAGAATCTTGAAACGTTTCAAACATAGTACAGAGTATATATCATGTGACCTTTGGAAGAAGAAAATAGTGATGGAGATTACTTACTGGTATAATGACCACGGGCAAAGTTGTTGGCAGCATCCTCCTTACCGCTGATCAGCTGCTCGGGGTGAAAAAGCTGTCTGTAGGTTCCAGTCCTAACTTCATCAATGACAGTCGGCTCCAGATCTACAAACACAGCACGCGGGACATGCTTGCCAGCTCCAGTTTCACTGAAGAAGGTGTTGAATGCATCATCACCTCCTCCAATTGTCTTGTCACCAGGCATGTTGCCATCCGGCTAGGACAGATAAAAGAAAAGGAAAAGGAATTCAGCGCCGATCAGAAGTTATAGTAAAATAACAAATGAAGCGTTCAACCAAATCTCAAAAAAAGGGACCGTAAAGTTTAGGCAGGCACATTCATAAATAATGATTACAACTAAACAAAAACTGAAAACGGTTGAAGTTTTGTAAAAATAAGAACATTTAAATTCATATACAATAAGCTAACATTTCTGTAGATCGAAATGCTTTAAACAAAATCGCTGGATACCATTGAGATATTATCATATGAATTCAAAAATGTAGACAGAAACACGACGTGGAAAACCAATAAAGTTTATGTACATGTCATAGATCTCGACATTGTTAACAGTAAGGCGAAAAAAAATTCAAATTCGTATAAAACATCCTAACATATCTGTAGATTATAACTCTTCAAATAGATTAGATTCTCTTGGTGACATTGACAAATAACAACATGGATTTAAAAATGTAGACAGAAACACGACGTGGAAAACCAATAAAGTTCATGTGAATAACATAAATCTCGACGCAAACAGATTCTCTTGGTGGCATTGACAAATAACCATATGGATTTAAAAATGTATACAGAAACACAACGTGGAAAACCAATAATGATCATGCGCATAGCATTAATCTCGACGTTGTTCACAGCAAGGTGATAAATATTTTCAAATAATATTAACATGCTTCAGATCTGTGTAGACAGATTAGATCCATTGCAAAATACGTTCAGATATATCGAAACTGAAGGTCATTCGTGCAGATCTAATAGGATAGACGGTAATCTAAGACGCGTAAACGAAGATCTGCTAAAAACGAACGAACACGTATGCATTCACATAGATCCAAACGGTTAAGGGACGTTCAAGCATAATCGATCCAATGTCAATACCTGAATACCATGCTCGAGGCAGTAAAGTTCCCAGCAGGCATTTCCGACCTGGATACCAGCTTGACCGATGTGGATTGAAATGCACTCCCTCATCTTCGAGATTTGTTGAGACAGAAAGCAGGCTATTCAAAATTGCAGAAGAAATGGAAGGAAATGCTAGAGAAATTAAGATCGGCGTTTATCAAGACGCCTCTCTAATTACAGATGAGCAAACCGGCCGGCCTCAAGGGATTATATATACACGAAAAAAGGGCAAATGAAACCCTCCCCGCTTCGTGCAGGCGAATTGACCGTGGTTAGTTAACCGCGGTTTCCAATGACAGCTAATATAGCAGTTGTGTTTTTTTACTCCGCTGAATGTTTTTCTAAATACCGGATAAATCGCTGGGCTTGAGTTACTTGAGCAACTTGGGTTAGATCTATCCGGCGGATTCAAATTTTGAATTCCTGAATTAAATTATTACTTCGTATTTAAGTCACTCATAGTCAATGTTAAATGGAATGATGAATATAGGGAGAATGCACATGAAAAAAATGTGTAGTACCCGTTGTCTTTGTACAGGTAAAGGGAAGTATGTATACATAGGCGGGCCGAAGTCCAGGGCAATTTAAAAAAAATTCAATTTTTTAGTGTAAATTTTAAAATTTTCATATTTAGCCCACCCCGCTAATGTTGAATCTAGTATAATTTTTTTCAGCTCAGGGCATTCCGGAATCCTGGATCCGCCCCTATCTTTGTATATATCTATCGAGAAAAATATGAGACCCGGTTAACTTATTAATTAAGGACTTAAGGAGGCTAGTAACATCATGAAAAATCGATATTTTCTAAATATTTTAAATGAATCTTAAACATTCATCTAGGGCTGGGCATATCGGTTTCCGGTTCGGGTTTTATCGGTTTCGGTTCGGTTTGGAACGGGTTGGGAGAATTATTACCAAACAAAAACCATATTATTTTTCGGTTTGGTTTGGTTCGGCTTAGTTCGGTTTAGTTCGGTTTGGATTTGTTATTTTTTATAAAATATGAAGGATTTTTAGAATTTCTTTAGTTCGGTTCGGTTTTGTTCGGTTTTTATCGATTTCGGTTCGGTTCGGTTTAATACGGTTTGGAAGAAATTCTACCAAACTCAAACCAAATTGCATATGGTTCGGTTTCGGTTCGGTTTGGTACGGTTCGGTTCGGTTAAACCAAACCAAACCATATTCATTACTTCATTCATCACATGAATGAAGTAATGAATAAAATATTTCAAACATTTCATCATTTAACTAAGACAAAGAATTATGTCTCGCAATCCTTTTTCTAACTTTCTTCCAAAAATATCATTATTTATTTCAAAACATTTATAATCTTGTTTGTACGGAGTACTACTTTCACACTATTATCTTTGTTTTGTCTACATGCTCATTATTTTGCTAAGTTTGGTGCATATTTCATTTGAACGGTAAAAATTAGCAAATATTAAGATTTAAACAGAAAAAATTAATGAATATCTATAACAAATTAGTTTCTTTAAATGTAAGTGATAAAAATAGGACAATCAAATAAATAAATTTTATTTTTTTTCCTCTCAAAAAAATAATAATTTTACAAAGTAGGGTGTAGAGTGGAATAATTATTTAATACCCGTAGGCCGTAGTATAGTAATTCTACTCCGTATTTTACTTAAAATTAGTGGTTACTTCATAGTTACCCTATTATATGTTGGGATAATATTAATACATTTCTTTTCTTGTTTTTTGAAAGCACATTTCTTTTCTTGTTAAAATAAAATAAAAAATTATACTACGAAAGACTTAAATAAAAGTAATCATAACTGGTCTAAATCAGACTAAAAGGTAACAAAAATACACTAATAGGATTATATGTTTATAGTTATCTAAAAATGACTTAGTTAGACCTATCTTAAAAATCTGGAAAACTGTTCCCGCCTGGGCGCAGTTCATGAAGTCGTCGTGACATCTCATGCCATATGAAATGCAGGGCCGGCCCTGGACAAGGGCAGGCCGGGCTTGTGCCCCGGGCCCAACATTTACAGAGGCCCATAATTATATATAAATGGATAAATATAGAGAGGACAATTCATATCAGACCGATGCCATTTGGGGCCCTTTATGGAGAAATTTTTTTATGAAACTTTTTTAGAGTATTTTTCATCAAGTGTAAATTACATTCACAAAATTTTAGTTTAAAAATCAACTGGAAAGTCAGTTAAATAAAATATTGAAACACACTGCGCTTTGTGTATATAAATAATGCGCACTATCTTTCAATAATTTATTTAACTGTCTTTCAGGTTGAATTTTAATCTGAAACTTTGTGGAGATATTATAGATTTCATGAAGAATATATTTAAAAATTTCATGAAAAAATTCTATCGGGAAGGGTCTCAAATGGCTCCGGTCTGACATCATTTCCCGTTAGTTAGGCCTAAATTCAAGGTTTCATCTTTGGACTTTAATTCGTTTTTCTCAGCAATCAACATTCTCCTAATTTTCTCAAAAATATCTTCCAAATTTGAAATTTCAATTTCACAAGTAATTCTCTGGTTTTATTTTTTATTTTTAATATAATTTTTATTCGTTTAGTTTATATATTAAGACTTTGACGAAAGACTTACATTACTTTGTATGTTGAAATTTGCGTATATAAAGTTAAGCTTTTGCAATATATTTATATAACCTTTTAAGGGCCTTCTTTTTTCAATCGCCCCGGGCCCATAAAATATCAGGACCGGCCCTGATGAAATGCCGGACATTTGGCAAAAAACTTGGCACTTCCAATTAGAAAAAACAGTTATAGTGTATGCGTATCAGTGTATCACAAAGCTTGACACATATGGAGTTAAATTGTCAATGTAAAAAATGACTCAGCATCCAATTTGTTCTAGAAGGCTGAAGAAATTAAACCACTCGGCAGTTTCCCCAAATTAAAGCATGATCACCACCTTCCACGTCCATCTTAAATTCAACCGCCTCATCATTACTATATATGGTGCAAATTCAGCATAAAAAATTCTTCACGACTCACAAAAACTTTCATAATGCACCTGTAAGTGAAGGTTACATTGATTTGTTAGCACGTCTTAGAAATTCTATATATACCAATACTAAATATTGCCATGGATATTACGTATGGCTTGAGTAGAACTAACATACATCGACTTGCGGCTAGAAGAATATAATAGCAGGCCAAGTGAGTAATTCAAAATTTTTTCCCTCTCTGTATCTATTCCTAATCATAAATCAATTATAGAAAAGATTTTTTGCATCAGTTTGCAGATGCAATTTTAAACTTCACATACAAATCTAATCAAGGAGAAAAGAGTGCGGCATATTGTGATACATGCAAGAGATGGTGATCCTATCTAGCGCCGGCGGGCTGATAACAAAACCAGGCGACAGATAGCAATATCAGACCAAAAGTAGTCGCGGCTGATAAAATCCGGTTTTAATTCAAGGGGGTGTTTAATTTCTAATTCGAAGTTCTATCTAATTGTTGGTTCGATCAATTAGTATTACCTTCTGTAAAAAAAATCTAGCCCAAAATACAGAAATTAGTTTCTTTAGATTTGTTTCTTACTCATGGTGAGTTGGTGACTTGGAGATGCCGTAATTAAGTGTTATCCAATGGAATTTTTCCTTTGGTTATTTCAGTCTGTTTTTTGTGAAGCACATATTTTTACTAAATTTTTCATATTGGTAGCAAATCGATTCATAACAAATCCAAATACCAAGTATATATATTATATGATATATACTTATACTGTTATACAATCATTATACTCCTGTAACATGTCATATATATACACAATATAATGCATACTAAAAGACGAAGTATTCTTAGGGAATAGTATAGTACTACGTATGTAATGATATTAATATACGGAGTACTACGTACGAAGTATATACTCTATTATAATATCTCTTCAAAATGATTTCAACTCAATTATTTATGCACATAGAGTATGATTACATGCTAACCATGCACGAAGTAAAGATTCGATTATTACATGCTAACCATGCATATGAAAATTGAAAATCTTCCCCCTTCCCTTTTAGTTGCGACTGTTCAGTTGTCAAATTAAAAATTGATCATTAATATCATTCATTTCTTAATAGTTAAAAATTTAAAAATTAAAAAAAATAGAGTCTGAAATTTTAAACGAGTGGAACTTATCAATATTTTTCAAAAATTTACTTAATAAAAAAATGTAGTCAAATTAGAGTATGTGAATAGTGTGAAATTCATCAATGTTCCAACTAAAAAAGAAAGTAATATTTAATTAAATAGTATGGAAGAATATGTAATTCTTTTTTGCCCCGTGCATCGCACGGGTAACATACTAGTTAAGAGTATAGAACTTCAGCAATTGAGAATGAATTGAGTTTTATTTTGAAAGGAAAATAATGATAATTCTATTCATGTACTCTCGGTGTTTTTGTCACATTTAAGAAATTTAAGAAATGTTCTCATAAAGTATTGGATAAAAATGTCATTTTTAGAATGAAATGGGCAAGGATGTGTTTTCATAGAGATTCTACTTTTATAACCGAATTTCCATTTTCGATAACTTCCAAGTGTAACAAGTTTACATTTCAAGTTGCTATTGTACTGTGATAATGTGATCCATCAACCATTATGCCAAATGCATTGGAAATTTCACTTTATCATCGTTCATATAGCCACATAGTGAAATTATAGGCCAAGGTTACAAATATTTCTCGCATTGATAAAATATGAAACAATAATGTACGATATAAAAATATCAAACTATTACCTCCGTCTCACTAAGATTAGGACAATTCAATTTACGATGTTTGATCGATGATAAGGCAAACAAATCCTTCTCTCCACTCATATTATATTTAGGGAAAAAATTACATATTCAGAAACTACATTAAAAGCTTTACAAAGTCTCAAAAACCAGAATCAAATTTGATAAAAAAATTGATATATAAAAAAAAGATTAAGACTGGTTTATGTTGATCAAGTGAATAGGAGTTAGGACAATCTTATCGGAACAAGTGAAGTACTTAGACTTTTAGAATAAAATTCCGAATCTTAACATAAAATCATAGGCAAATTACTCTATAACCATGGTGTGAATACTTTCCCAAAATGAAAGTGATCATAAAAATGAGAAGGGCAAATTGATGAAAGATGAACAACAAATTTAAAGTATGAATGACTTAGGATCAAGGTAACCTGTGAATGAGTACTCTTCCGGTCTATAAGGTCTGACCGGAATCGCCGTCCGGACGGAAGCATTTAGGTCACTTCCCGGTGGAATTTTTTTATGAAATTTTTTGGACATGTCTTTCATCAAGTCTAATTTATCTACACACAAAATTCAGTTAAAGATTCAATACAATAGGCAATCAAATAATTTTTGGAAGATAATTGCGCCAAAATAAACATATAAAACATAGTTATCTTCTTAAAACTACTACGTATTTGATTGTCTTTCCGATTGAATTTTTAGCTGATTTTTTTATAAACTAGATTTGATGAAGAACATTCCCCAAAAAAATTTATCCAAAAATTTCACCTGGAAGTGGCCCAAACACCGTTGTCCGGATGGCGATTATGATCCTGAATTCCGGACCTGAAGATTTCTTACTAGTGAACTACCGATATAATCTAGTTTGACAACATTGAGATATACAAAATAAACATTTGACCAATCTTGTCATTCAAAATTTTGTAAACTTATATATTACTGTCATATCCATCAACAAAGTGTGGATCGATACCTTTGGTGCAACTTGCACCGTGCAAGTTAGTGCTGGACTCGGGCCGGGCGGCCCGGCCCGGAACCGGCCCGGCCCGGTTACTGTTAGGCCCGGCCCGGCCCGGGGCCCGGTGGGTCCACCGGTTCGGTTCGGCCCGGCCCGGCTGCTGGGCGGTTCGGGCCCGGGCCCAGGTTTTGGTGAACCGGCCCGGCCGGTTCGGGCCCGGTCCGGGCCGGATTTTAATTTTTTTTTTTTTTTTTTTGAAATTTTTTTAAGTTTTAGGTTGGATTAGGTATTTTGGGCCATTTGAGGTGGTTTGGGATGGTTTGGGGTTGAGGGGGAGGGGTAGGGGATTAAATAGGAGACCAAAAAAAAAAAAAAATTAAGTGGGCCGGTTCGGCCCGGCCCGGCCCGGCCCGGTTTGGCCCGGAACCGGAACCGGAACCGCCCACCGGCGGTTCGGGCCCGGGCCCTAGTTTTCTGGCCCGAGGCCCGGCCGGGCCCAGGCCCGAACCGGGCCCGAACCGGCCCGAGTCCAGCCATAGTGCAAGTAAGGAAGGTGACAATGAAATTTAGCACATAATGTTACATTTTTAAAGAAAGAAATATGTAGTAGTAGTCACATTTTTTCAATGGATACAATTTTGTAATATCACATAAAAATCCTCTTTTCTTGTAAGGTGCTACCAAGGATTGAAACCTGCACCAATTGTGTGGAAGTTACAGTTATGTGTATTGACCTTCTGATTGCTAGTGCGTACGAGTACAAGATCTACTACTATTGAACTGACTAAATTACTGTGAATTACAACCTCATATGTGTCTTGTCGAGTCAAGGCGGGAGGGTACAACCTTGGAGGAGTGTCACCCCGCATCCCCTGACCACTGGCGTTATTTATGACGCCAACACTGACAACGGCCTTTACCATAGTAGCGGAGGTCTGGGGCCTGGGGCATGGTAGGCCAGATTCATCCTACATTTCAAAATATGTTTATGTATTAATGTAAAAAACATCATACAGAAACTTATCTAAAGAAATTGTTTATACCAATTCAATCCAGTATATAGTCAGTCCAGTGTATACCTTGACTACGGCCTGTCCCCAAATCTCCAAATCTCCAATGAATCAGAAAAACTAAAAAAAAACATAAAAATGGAAAACTGTGAAACTAAGATATCAGATAACGAAAGTTAAACACACAAATATTATAGACCTTACTCTCAAATTACATCACCCACAAGGGATGACAAGTAGCATGCGAGTACCATTGACCGTTTAATGCTAATATTTAATGAGATGTAATTACAAAAGTGTGCAACCTTAGGTTAATACATATTTACAGCCCTACAAAAAAACTCAAACCTTGTAGGCTTGTACTCCCGGGAGATCATACTCCCCAAAAAGGCACCACAGATGATGATGATGATGATGATGATGATGGAAAGGCGAAATTAAGAAAAGATGAACTGGCTGGCTTCTAAATCAAACTACTTGAGAATTTGGGATGAGGTGGTAAAATGACAACGATCGTAAAGAGCGAGCTTTTCCATCTCTAATTCGAAAGTGCCAATGTTGTCCATAGATCACAGTAGGCTCGCAGTAGACTTGCATGACTGCTATGAGGAAGACTTGATGAAGTATGCGGTGATTCCCTTCAATTTTCCATTTAAGAAATTCTTCTCCACCTAAGACCGCACAGCCCAAGGTAGGGAGGGCCAAAGCATAGAACAAAGAATTTAATCATCCAGTTACCAAGCTAATTATAACAATGCTACAGGCAACTAGGCAAGTGGAAACAAAGTAAAATTTGACTGAAGTAAATGAAATTGATCATTGTGATATATTCCCTGAGAATATAGATCACTGGGCATTGGGCAATAGACTAAATTATCTACTAACAAAACATTTAAAAAATGAAATACTCCCTCCGTCCCAATATAAAAGGCACATTTTCCTTTTCGGGCCGTCCCAATATAAAAGGCACATTTCTCTTTTAGGCAAACAAAACAGTGTCAAACAGTGTCAAACAATGTTCCTCCTAAAAATGTTTGAAAAAGCAAATGTGTTCTTTATATTGGGACGGAGGGAGTATATGTTTTAATAAGTTAAGGAAAATAATGCGGAGTACTAAAAGATGAGTAAAAGTGGTTTCTCTTTATTTTGATAAAGGTAAGTACTCAGAGTACTTTTTGCAAGTCTCAACCACTGGGTTGACATAGGAACTACCACTTTGTGAGTCCCCTACTCCCCCATATATCGGAGACCTGCCGGTCTCCTCCCTATTCCCAACCCGATTTCTAAGCGTCACTAGTAGGCATGGACCGGGCCCGTTCCGGTTCCGGGCCAGGCCCGGCCGGGCTTTGGATTTCTTGGGTGAAGCCCGGCACCGGCCCAGGAGTCTACCGGCACCGGGCCGGTTCTTTAATTTTTTTTTTGTTTATCTTATTTATTCCAACCCCCCACCCCCCAAACCCTCGAAAACACCCAACCCAGACCACCTAAACCCAGCCCAAACCCAAAAAAAACAAATTAAAAAGCCCGGACCGGTCCTCAAAAAACATGTCCCGGACCCGCCCCCATAAACTCCCCAGGTCGGGCCTAGGCCCGGTACCGGTACCGGTTTGCCGGGCTGGGCTGGGCCCGCTCCGTGGCGGGCCGGTCGGGCCGGACCCGGGCCAAGCCTAGTCACTAGATAGAAAAGACCATGAATGACAAATGAAAAAATGGTTATAGACATCCCTCACTAAATTGATAAAAAATACCTCTAGCGACCATGATGAATTGGCTAATAAAGCAATCTCAGCCAGTTGATTGATATCTACATTTCTGGGAAGGAACATGACAACTTTAGATGCAATTCTCATGCCAGCATTGAAGAGAAAATACCTGATAGATACCCAAAAAATAGATGAGCAACCGTTTCAAATGGTAGAAAAAATAAAGGTAACAAAAGTGGTAGTCTGGATTTTAACCTATTTCGTACCCGTATTTTGGAGGTATCGGTATCAGTTCCATACTAGGAAATTGCCCTAAATAGGAGTAAAAACGTTTGGGAATTCCAAAATAGGACTGTCATATTTATAATCCCTAGATAGAAGTAATCATTACCATGTTTTGGCATTATCAAACCTCAAATATGGCAGTATTTTTCAAATTTGAAAGTAACACCTCCTATTTAGAGATTAAAAACATGACAATTCTATTTTGGAATTTCGAAACATTTTTAATCCTATTTTGGGAATTTTCCCTTCTTTAATTTGTTATCTTCTTTATACAAATATTTTTTAGGAATGAGCATATAGGTACCAACTCCTGAACTTGTACCGAATTTGCATCAATTCTTTTGTAAAATGTATCGTATTGGTGCCAAAACTATATGTTTTATGAATAGTATGGAGCTTTTTAGAAACACCCAAGTATATCTTGACTTTTTAACCACAAATGTAGCTACTGAAAAATATTGTTTATCATGGATAACTTTAAATAAATATTGTTAACCCCTTTGCATGTTTGTACCATTACTCTATGAAAATATTGTTTGGTATATCTTGATATTTATGGATATTTCAAAAATTATTTAACACTATGTAATTCTTAGAGTTTTTAGTTATGTGTTTAAAATGTTTGAAATATCAATAAATATCGAAATATATTTATCCATATTTTCATACATTAACAGCATTGCCATGCAAAGAGTAGTGGTTTGCAAAACATAATTCAAGCATTTGGATATTATGAAAGCTTCCGTATATCTTTCCATATGAGCACACAAATATAGCTATAATTTTTTTTATTTTCAATATAGTTTGAAAATATTTTACTGCATACAATAGTGTTATATAGTCTGAATGTAGATAAACTTAACAAAAAAAATGGTACCAATATGATACAGATAAAATAATTAGTGCCAATATGATACAACCCACAAAGTATTGATACCAAATGTGTCAAAACTTCATAAAAGACATTTACAGCCAGTCTAGAAAACAAACCCATCATGCGGCTTCAGCATTGTTTTGATGTCAAATTTCTTAACCTTGGCATAATCAGGTCCTCCCCATGGTGGTGACATGTAGACTACATCTACCTGCAACAAAATCAACAAATAGAAGGATGAGACCTTTTCAATGCTAAAATACAGTAGCGCAGCTGTGAATATAGGGACATCTAATGAAAACATGGTCCCAAAAAGTGCATTGTTGCATATGTCACATTACCACCTACACATTATAAAAATCCATCCATATTTAAAGACGTGCATGACAGAAAAAGAGCAGTAAAGCTATTAAAGAGAACGAATATAAAAAACAGAAAAAGAGCATCAGAGAAACTCTCCAAGATCACCAAAAGAACTCTCCAACAAGATGTCTCCCCCCAGTGGACAAATTTCTTAGAAGGTAAGTCTACCTTTCTTCTTTAAAAGAGGGTTTATTTTAGTTAGTTTAATGGAGTCTATAATTAGGGTAAGAAATAAATTACATATCAATCAAAATGGCAAGTGTAATCCAGGAAATTGTGTTGAAGATGGATGGCCCATCATGAAAACGAAATACATGCTAAATTGCTAATAGAATTACCTAATTTTCTCACTGGTTTTGTTCCCCTGGTCCATGGTGTCTAATTATCTATGACATTCTGTATGGCAGAAGCACTGAAGCAAATATAAAAATCCCAATGTTTAAACTCTGAATCTATGTAGAAACAATAATCAAATAAAATGTAGTCAAGCAAGTAGTTATGCAGAACAAAGAAAATAAATACCTTCAATGTTGGAGCCAATATCAAGGAATCTCCTCTAATGAAGTCTATTTGGTCTCTAACTCCATATATGACTGCATTATGTTGTGCATAGTCAATTTTCTTTGGATCAATATCAATTGCAATTACATGTCTGCACCTGAAAAGGATTAGGAATGAAAGGGAATAATATTAGAAAATTTCACATAGCAAAATATAGTAACCATATCTAGAGGTTCAAGCAGCAAGAAAATAGTAGAGTAAAAGTTGCTAATAACATGTGCAAGTCTTTGTCCTTGTTAAGTAAAAACTTAATAATAATAATAATTAAAAAACTAAACTATTCAGTACTATTAGGTAATGAAGATGATAGAGAACAGATGTGCTCTTTTAACTCACAACAATGTGATGTTAAAGAGACTTCATCATACGGGTAAACTTAAACTTTCAAAGAAAAGAAAAAAAATGGCAAGAATGAGAGACATAAATACATAATACATAGCATTATGAATAACGAATACAATATTTTAATTTCATCAATAAAAAAAAGTGCATCAGCAATTTCATCAATTTAAAAAGTGCAGCCACTGTTGTTAAAAACAGTCAGCCCAGATTAAGTAGTGCCTAGTCATTTAACCCGCCTGGGCCTCTTAATCTGCTATACAGAGGGCCGTCTAATACTTTTTACAACATTGTCTAAAACAAGACAAACACACTTAGCCAGAATAGAAAATGAGATCCAATATTTAGTGCAATTTATCTTCAGAATTCAGATTGCTAGAGTAAAAATATAAGGTGCTAAAAACAATATTAATGCAGCTCGTAGCATTATAAGCAAATATATAATTTCAGTGTGACACTGAGTGTCTTTATCTTTTCCACACATCCAGATTTGGAATGATAGCATCAATGTGGATTGTTGAAAAATTTTGTCTTTAAACTATAGGAAGATAGTAACAGAAATTGCTCACTGGTGTGCAAACTGGATAGCGTTTCCACCAACTCCAGTGAATAAATCAACTACAGTACCACCGGCACAACGTTGAGCATGATGCTTTGCTAAGGACTCTGGAGTAACAGAGAACCATCCTTCTTCATCCATTTGTATACCTTCATCATACTTTGTAAATAAACTGTACCTTTGACACCAGTATTTACTCAAACCACGATTTAGGCCTTCATTTATCAATGGGATATGGAACTCTGTGGGAAAAAAACAGAATGATTAATGAGATGTAATGCATTCTGCTTGTAGCCAGAATGATTAAAAGAGATCCGAACAAATACCTCCATTTTGTATGGATAGTTTCTTTTTGGATTTTGCTCTCCTAGATTTTCTTTTCTTTTTCTCGGGACTGGTATGACAGATAGTTTCAGTAACAAGTTCATCTTCAACTGAAGCATGAATCTGTTGATCTAGTAATTTATCATCAACCATGTATTCCTCTGATAAGTCACACATAAGTTGCGGATGACAAAAAATGGGTTGATCAGCAGATTCTTCAAAACCAGTAAAAGTGACATCCATGTCGGCTATCTCATTCTTTGCTTCTGTTGGTTTATCACTGATATTAATATTAATATACACTAGCTCTTCCATTCCTGGAGGTGGGTCCCATGTACATTCTTGTGTAAGAGAATTATGGAAGTAGTTTCTTGAGTAGAAGTCATCCCAATAAACCTCCCAATGACCAAAATCACTTCTAGCATCATGGTCAATTGTAAAGGGGGGCTTCAAACATTTAGAGTCGTCCATCTTATCTCCTTTAGGGTCCTTCCCATCATATGTAGTGCTAACTATTCCATCTAAAATCGAATTTTCAAGAGCTCCAATATCTTCTTTTAAGAAAATTTCATTATCATCCTTTAATAAGAGTTCATGATGTGTATATTTAGAATTCAATTCTTGGTCACTTCCAGGAACGGTGGTGATAGGGTCATCAACTGTAGAGCTAGCACTAGATGACATCGGGCTGATTGAATCTTTCGCTGCATCAGGGAGATGACAAACTTCTTCAACACCAACTGCAGGATCAAAGTTCGGCAATTCACTCTTTCTTCCTATTAACAAGGAAGACAATGACTCACTTGCTTGACATGGAATTTCAGAAGAAGCATTCTCACCCACCTCTTCTAAAGGCCCTTGCACATCTTCCTGATTTGGGTTGCGTTCGTGGAGTACATCCTTAAGCTTGTTTTTTCTCATTCCTCCAAGTATTCCCCTCCTCTGTGGGTACAAAAATAGTCACAAAGTTAAATGAATTGAAAATCGAATCTAGATAGATCAAGAAATATCCTTAACATCTAACCTATTGCTGTCCATTACATGCACTACTCACAGTGGAAGGAAAAAAACAGTGAAAGTTGGCCCAACTTAATATGGTTTCTATTACAAGGGAGTATTTTTAGGATTTTCATCATGTTTCAAGCAAATTTCCTGCACAAGATTAGTCACCATAATTTATTATGGAATTCCTTGTACGAAAAGTTTTGCTCCAGTGCAGTGCAAAGGATATTTTATTTCGAGAGACCAAGTAACATAACAATGTCCTGACCTTCAAATTCACTCACATACTTCCCATGTTCACAATTCCTAGCAGGATTTATTAAAACCAAATAGAGAAAATTCTGAAACAAGCATCACAGTGAACCTAAATGTCTGAAGAAAGAACGCATATAAAAAACTATTGCATGAGATGATACCTCCTTAGTGCGAAATGACATAGGGAGTCCCATTCCACTCATCAACTTGGCAAGCACCACTTCTTCTGGTAAGAAATGAAGCTCTGAATTAATTGAATCAGGAGCATCTTCAGTGATGGTTCTCTATGCAGAAAAAAGGAATGGGTCAATTAAAATAGACAGCTAAAATTCACCAATTGCTTTCATTTCGCGCAATCAGGAACAGATTGAAGGGATGCTCAGGGGTGGTGGTCACAACAAATCTATCTTAATATAATAAGAAAAGGTTTCTTGGGAGCAAGTTCCCGCCAAAAAGCAATGAATCATTCCTTTAGTGTGAATCCTCTTGGTTTCGTATAGTTTTCTCACAGAATATTCTCGAAAAAGCTTTTCTCACGTGGATATATAGTTAATGTTGTATAGCACATTTCTAGGTTTCGATTCTCAGTGCTGTATAACCTTTTCGTATTCCACCAGTAATAAACACTAATTTTTTTCCCAGAAAAAATGATCCGGAGACGAATGGTTAGGAAGTTTGCACAAACCTAAGCGCTACATATAATTTACGTAGTATATGTGAATGGCGTATGGGTTAGTTTAATGTTACAGGCCAATGACCGTTTTATGCAGTTTTTTAGTTTAAAAGCAAACGGACCAATATTGTACTTTTACTGGACTAGATAGATTAATAAAAATTCTATTTCTGAATAATTTTAATTTTTTTAGGCCCGTAGTATACCTTTAATTTTGGCTAATGAGATTTTCAGGACAAAGTCAGAAAACTTGACTATTTCATTTTTTAGATTTTAAAAAAAGTTTTTACCAAAGGTACTTTCATCATTCTTAATGGTCTGGCTCTATCCAATGTAAAGTTTTGGTCGGTGAACATGTTATGATGTTAAGCATCAACTAATCAGTGATAATCTGCATTTGAATATCTAGATTTGAAGTGTCGAGCTCAATTTGAAGCGGAAAATAACTTCCATAAGACCATGCACGAGGCATCTTAATACTCTCTAAGCATTTCTCCGGATTTGAACTCTCATGATTTAGATGATGATAGTGATTCATCGAAAAGTTTTTTGTAATATAAATTTAGATTTACTTTTAATCTAAAAAAATTATTGATATTGAAATCATGCTTATACTTTATAAAAGTACTTTGTATAATATTGGGATCTAAATACTTTGTTAAAGTATTGATATTGAAATCATGCTTATACTTTATAAATGTATAATATTTGGATGTAAGAGATCCAATATATTGTGTACTACAGAGAATTATGTTGCGGTGCACTTCATCTAAATGTAGATCATTCTATGGATTCGTGCAATGGAACAAGGCTTATCATAAGAAAGCATGGTGATCATATTTTAGAAGTATATGGGTCAACAAGTGCTAATTCCAAGGTTCTAATTAACTTCATCTTAAGTGAGACTTCCTTTAAAGTTTCAGCGAAGATAATATGGGTCAACATGTGCTAATGACATGATTTTGTTTGTTGTCCCTAAAGTGGTCATTGTAAAGGTTTTGATGTATCATTTTGGATTTCAATATTTTCATTTAATTAATACAAGATTCTTTATTTCGACCGTGCATCGCACGGGTGAGAATACTAGTTTTACCATACATACGAACTCTCCCCTTTCCAGAGTATATAAATGCTCCTTCATCATTCATTATAAAAAACATTATATTCACATTTTCAAACTTACATGACAGTTTTTGTAATTATTTTGAAACAAAATGAATTCAATATCTTACAGTTCTTACAACTTCTTCAAGAACAACAACAACCATGTTACCCCCAGTGCAGCAAAGGCCCTCACCTATGGTGGGTTAAAAGACTGTTTCCGGATTACCCATGAATGAAAATCGCGACTAAAATTGCATGGACTGACGGGTGCTTCATAAAAATAGTGAGCCATTTTGTTTTATTCCATCATATTTCCAAGCCAAAAAATAGTGAGCATTAGGCTCCAAAGTAAAATAATAGTATTACCCCCCATTCTATATAATTGCAACATTTTCAATTTGCTGTTTTAAATTATGCAATTAACACCATAAATTTACATTTTTGAAATAAATAATACATGACCAAGGTGTTAAAATGACTTTTTATATAAAATTTGGAATATTTAAATTACATATGAAAGTTTGGGGTGTTTATCTCACACCCCTTCAAAGTTTTGGGTATTTTAATTATTTTTCCCTTTTTCTTATAATAAAGCTAGAATTTTGCTTTCAAATAGTTGGTTCTATTTAACTGTACGTCTGTAAGCATGTTATGGTTAAAATTTGTAAAAAGGGAGGTGTTTAAAACTGTAAACTGTTTTTCGCTTTTTCTACATATGTTACCAAAATAATACACCAATAAATACTTTTCTATCCAACACTACCAACTTTCACTATAATCTCTAAAAGCAATCACTTTTCACTAGCACAAACAAATGTAAATATCACCTAAGTAACACTAAAGATACAATTAAACCTCTGTAAATGCTTAACCTCAGCCCGGAGATTTTATTCGCTGAGCATTGTTATTTATTGAATGATAAATGTATACATTATCGAATTATAGATGGATCAACATTTAATAGTTCAGGGATTTTGAATATGATAAATAAAATCAAAAGGAACTCAACCAAGGATTCAAGATATTACTTGACAGTCTTGATCCAAAGAAGCTCGAATATAATTGTGAAACTTAATCTGTCTGGATAGAGAACAAAAAGGTTCATTCTTTTGGCTATGAGAGAGACGATGGATGCCTAATTAACACTTCAGTAGACATCCCAGAAGCTGTGCTTGAACTACAAGAATTAATGTATAGGTTTCATTTTGATTTAGGTGAAAACGAAAAACAAGAAAATTTTAATTCACTTATAATAATGGGTTCTTTTAGACATAAATCTCAATTTCGTACTTTGAATCCGTCCTTGAAGCAATCAGCTCTAACCCCCATCGAAATAAGTAGAGAAACATAAACCTAAAATCGTAATATAGCTTACCAAAGCTCCGGTAGAAGGTGAGCATAAGTGAACATCATCCACAGTATTATCCCTGCAAGTGAAGATATTTATTTAGCTCTAATAATTCTGAGGGCTTGGGATAAACCATTTTAAAATAAAAGTGCCAGTTCATATGGAGAAATTGTAGATTAAACGTACGAGAGATAAACTTCAGTGAGCTTAAACAAAGATCCGAGAGCTGTAATAGAGGGCGCTTCGTCTTCAAGCGCCGAGCTTTCCGTCATCCCTGTGCAATTTCTTTGAGAACGAGAAACCGCGCTGGACTATAGACTGTCAAAGTTGGGGCTCGCACTAGAAGCTAGTACGGAGTATTTTTCCTGTTAGGATGTTTGTAGTTAAACAATACCGATTTTCCCTGTTAGCATGTTTGTAGTTAAACAATACGGAGTATTTTGTTTTGGATGGTTTTCCAAAACATCAGACCAGACCAGAACAGATCAGACCAGACCATATTATACCATATCAGACTTCCGTAGTTATAAAATACACAGAAACTAGACATATACCAGACCAGACCTGTTCAGACCACATCAGACTAGACCGGATCAGACCAGACCAGACCAGCAAATTTCCGTTCAAAAGAAAACATCCTAATACAACATAAATGTTAGGGGTACACAACTTGTATACAAAATATTGGTCACGGATAATTGGAATGGAGTTGGATGTGAGCACACCGACAGCGCGTCATCTGACACAAGCTTGTGAACCAATCTATATCTATATAGTGCCTGTGTGCACAGACAATATTTTCATGTTGCACAGACAATATTTATCACATAAACAATAGTTTTGCGGCTCACAAATAATAGTTATCTGTGTGGTCAACTTTAGTTGTCCACGTGTATCAATTTTAATTGTTTGGGTGAAAAAAATGTAATTGTCTATATACATCCAAATGAATTGTGTAATTGTATGTGTGATCAATTTACATGTAATTTGAAAAAGGGAAAACTGACAATTTGGTCCCCGTACTATTACGAAGAAATCAATTAGGTCCTAGTACTTTTAAAAAAATCAATCAAATCTTCGAACTTTGTAAAACGTTCAATTGACTCCATTTACAAATTATTTGTCATGTCAATAGGTCACCCGCTGACGTGACACACATGTGGCAACCCAATCAGCAATGACTTTGTTGGCGTGGTGCATATGTGAAAGCTCAACCATCCATTTTTCGATGACGGGCGCACACGTGGACCGCCACATGTGCGCTACGTCAGTGGGTGACCTGCTGACGTTGCAAGTAACCTGCAAATGGACTTAACTGGACATTTTTACAAAGTTTGGTGATTTGATTTATTCTTTTAAAAGTATGAAGACCTAATTGACTTTTTTGTTATAGTACAAGGACCAAATTGATAGTTTTCCCTTTTTAAAAAGTAAGAAAAAGAATACAAATAGATGAAATAAGATAAATAAATTGATTTTGTGCAAATAATGGAAAAAAGGTAGAGAAAAAGAGGATGAAGGGAAAAGGGAGATGAAGAAGAGAAGATGATCTCCCAATTTTTTTTTGAAAACTTTCGAATGGATTGGGTAAACAGGAAAGGGAGAAAGGAGAGAGGGGAAGAGATGAGGGGAGGGGGGAATGGGATTTTTTTGGGCTTTTATATGATGTACACTTTGAAAAGGGATAGGATTTTCTGCCCACAAATGTGTACACCATTTGTACACACTCCCTAGATGCTTATGTACATATGAAGTGTACAATTTGTGTATGAATTTGGAGTACAACAAGAATAAGGACGCGTTTACTTCATGGTTACTAAACGGTGCTTATTAAGACTCGCGTTAATAAGCGGCGCATAAAATAAGCAATGTTGTAAGATCGTGTTTACTTCAAAGGGTTTAAAACACCATTTAACATTAAAATGTGCAAAATAATCCTATACATATATGGACGCACAAACATTCATGAACACACATACATAATATAATATATGGGGTCACCGCGTACGTGTACCCATACCCCTAACCCCTTACCCCCGCCCTATACACCCATGCACCCCCACCCCTACCACCACCCCACCCTACACCCTACACCAATTCCACACCCTTGACCCCTACCCTACCCCTACCACGATAATGGTCGGGACGGGGTAAGGTAGGGGTGGGGTCGGGGTAAGGTATGGTAAGGGGGTAGGGTAGGGTGGGGCCAAGGTAGGAGCATGTGGTAGGGGTATGGTAAGGGTGGGATAGGGTGGGGCGGGGTTCGGGGTAAGGTAGGGTAAGGTTAGGGGTAGATGGTGATAGGGTGGGGTCGGGATCGAGGTGGGGCCGAGGTAGGGGGTAGGGTAAGGGGGTAGGCAGGGTAGGGTGGGTCGAGGTAAGGTAGGGTAAGGTGGAGTCGGGGTCGTAAGGTAGGGTAAGGCCGTAAGGGGGTAGGGTAGAATGGCGGTAGGATGGGGCCGAGGTATGGGCATGTGGTATGGGGTAGAGTAGGTGTGGGGTAAGGGTCGGGTAGTGTAGAGTAGGGTAGGGGTAAGGGGTAAGGTACGAGGATGGAGGTAGTGGGTAGGTGGGGTAGGGGTAATAGGGTTGGGCGGGGGTAGCAGGTAGAGGGGGTAACAATAGGGTAATGCCAAGGGGTAAATTCGGAAACTGAAAAAGCTTAAAGCTAGTGCCGCTTAATTAATATATGGGGGATGTATGTTTAGTAAGCGACACTTTAAGCACCTCTTTCGATTAGTAAGCGGCTTTTTAAGCAGCGTGCATGTTTACTTCACCTGTCTTACTAATCTAACTGTGACTTTAGCAGCGAAGTAAACACCTCCTAAGTCTTTTATTACGGAGTACTTAAATCTATCAACAAAAATGCCAGGGAGAAAGGCTTACGTTTGAATTATGTTTGATGTGAGTTTTCTCGCACTTAAAAATGTAGTAGAATAGTGGTTGAAAGTACGAGTATCGTCTCCACAGGGATGGACAAAAGGGAATTAAAGATTAACTAAATTCAGCGATTAAAAAGAAAGAAAATAAAATAAAATGCAATTGTGCGAGATTGATTGGTTTTGAAAATTAAACTAATGCTAATGAGCAATAAAATAAAAGATTGGTTTCTTCTCAATTAACGACGAAGGGAACAGAGATTGATTTCGGGGTAATCAGATTTCTGGCAGACCAGGCTTAATTACATGAAATTAATGTAATTGAGCCTAGCTAATCATTACTAAGTTCTTACCGCTCTCGCGGCGTAGAGTACAACAATTTAGGGGACCGGACTGATCTCTCATGCGACAGGATCCTAAATTCATGCCAAAACGAGCTTACGGCCCCTTAATCGCTACTAATCTCTTAGCGAACGATTAAGTGTGTGTGAATGTGTCCTAGAACAAATTAGATTTCTCTTAATTCATTCTACATGCAATTGTAATTCTAGCCGCGGTTCCAGGTTACAAAAGATATCAGTTAAATTATTCAAACACAAATTAAACGGCATTCATGCAATTAATCCATCAAGAATCTAGCCATATATCATGATTAACTCCTTCATCAACTCCAAATCCCTAATTAAACTACTCGCAATTCATAATTGAAGAATCAACAGAATTGGGATGAATAGAAATAATTGTCATTAATATATTAAAAAGATGAACTTACAAATAATCCCAGGGTCTTGGACAAAATAGCAGAAAAACAACGTTAAACTCGTCCCTAGGACTCTCCGTAATGTTTGTAACCCTTAAGCAGGAGAAAGAAGACCTTATTTATAGAAAACAGATGAGTTTGGGCTGAGCTGGGACAAAAACGGGGTAATCCAGGCGAAAATAGGATTTTCCGGAGGCAGGCACGGTGCCAGGCACGACCGTGCCTCCGGAGCGAAATCGCGCGTTTTGGGCAGGAACGGTCGTGCCTCCCTCCAAGCACGATCGTGCTTCACTGGCAGTAGCTCCGCAGTGCTTTCTCTACACGCACGATCGTGCCTAACTTTGAGCGCACGATCGTGACTACTTAACTTCAGAATTTGACAATGCTTCCTTCACGAAAGTTGTAGATAATGAAGTCCTCTATCCACCACAACTTGCCTAATGAGATTTTAATCATCCCATCAAGAGATATGATCAAAACGGTGGAAGGTCGCATTCTGAAATCGCAACAGGGCTCATCTGAGTTAATCGTCTATTTTCACCTTTGTCCTCTCAGATTCTCACAAAGGTGTCTTCATATGATTTGTAGCCCTTGAAGTTACCTTTCATATGGAACTTGAATCGTGTACATTGGATGTTTCTACAAAGAGATATGCTTGAACGATTGACAGAAGGTCATCCTGATCGTCATTTTCAAGTTTCGTTCATCTTCTTTTGATCCCGTAGCCAATCCTAGAGCTCTTTTGTCATCAAATCTTTATCGTAAACCTCCCGATGACCTCCAAATCTCTCAATTCACTCTCGAATTCTTCTCAAATCATCCCGATTGTTCCTCAAGTGCTGGTGCCGAACTCTAGATTCCTGATTTTGACTCCAAATGACACAAAACTCGAACCAACACCTAGTAAACATAACTTGAGCTAAAATTGAGGCTTGTAAAACCTTAAAGTTAGGAAAACCATCAAAAGTTGATCCCAACACGCATCAAATGCATGTCTAAATACGGACTTATCAATGTTCTTTGTTTGAAATAGTATGTTTTGTTTATATGATGATGGTCTTTGTTTTGACTATTATGATTAACTATTTGAATGTATGATCTTTATCATAAAATTGTTGTTTGAGTATTCAATTCTATGATGTTGTAATGGAGTTTTTTGTTCCCATGAAATTAAAAATGTCGACTATGATGCTCTAAATCATTTTGACCCTTTTGACATATTTTTAATGTGATAATTCATGCTATGCGATCAACCTTAGCGTTTCACATCTTTAGAAGATAGTTCTTTACTCTTAACTGTCATAACAACCATCATGATCCTAATTTTAAGGGTTTGAAAACTAGCATTTCTTTAATCCCCATACTCATTTTTTATTTTCATAATAAAAATTGGTATATCTGTGTTTGTTGATATAAATTATTGCTATCATCATGCATAGGAATAATCACTTATCGAATATCGAGATAGTGTGTCACTCAAGATGATATTTTAAAATTGCTAAGATTATGAAATGTACCAATACTAAGCATCAACTTTAGATATTATGTCAAACCTTATTGTATCAAATATTTCAGACAGGTGGCAAAGAGAATGTGTGTAGTAATAATGACAGAGTAACAATACAAGCCAATTTTTGAGAATATCTTTTCCACGAGTTGAAAGGTGAGCTTTCGGTCCAATTGGGCATAGCGTTATAAATGAATCAAATAATTTGCGCTTGATTCGCGATTCGA